AAATATGGGTATCCACTAAAAATAACGTTTAAGTATATATATATATATATATATATATATATATATATATATATATATATATATATATAAAACGTTATATTTAGGCGGATACACCTGTTTGTGTAGACGCCCTAGTTTTTTAAACAATGTAAATTATATTTCCCGGCCTGTGCATTCGAGAGTCTTAATAAAGAAAATGTGCCCTTCAACAGAAGATCGTCAAATGCACAGTGAAATAGATGTAATCCACACTTTATAAAAACAGGGCGTCTATTAAAATACGACATTTAAATAATAAGAATGTCGGATTAAAAATAAAACCCAGTAATTCTTATATATATATATATATATATATATATATACTGTAACTAATAATGATGTCCTATATGATGTGCGAGAGTGGCGAAAGATTCTTGGCCTGACCAAGAAAGGGTATATAAAATCGTTAATGTTTACTCATTTGGTCAAATTTGGGAAAAGGGGCCAGGCCGAGAAGTTTTCAGCATTCACCTCGTAAAATATCTTTAGTCTCTGTCAAGTTTTGACAACGTGGGTAAAATTTTTGTTGCATTTGTCTGCTTTCTTCTCTAATGAAGATGCTAATGACATTTTATTTTGTAAAGATCTCTGGCGATAAGATATGAATACTAAGTTAATTCAAATTGTTTCACCTTCATCTTCCATACACACTCAGGGCCTATTAGAGAGAGAGAGAGAGAGAGAGAGAGAGAGAGAGAGAGAGATCGTCCTCTCGCTCAGCGGCCGAAGGATCAACCGGGGGTCCATAAAGCCCTCGGAAATTTCATTGGATCTCATGAGATATTATTATATATTGAAAACTAAAGCCAAAACATTAACCCGAAAACTCATGTTCTTAAATAACCTCACCAGATCGAGGCTTTTATGTGGATGTCAAGCATGGTACCAAATCGGTTCAGAAATATCTAACCTGTCAACTGTATACAGCCATGTTCTCAGATCAATAGTTAAAAATGTCCTGTGGGTCATAGAAAAGAACACACTTGTTCGGACATTGTGGAGATTCACGAGCAAAGAACTGTACCAAATAACAGAACCCACATTACTTGAGGACTTTCAACAACGGCAACAACTAAAATGAATATCACATGTAATTCGAAGAGAAAATAATGACATATTCAAGATGTTAACATTTCACACAACTTCAAATAAAAGGTTGGGAAGGGAACCCCCATTAATACTGGAAAGATCGATCATAGAAAGCTATTTTCTTGAAAAATTGTCTTAAGAGCAAGATTTTATAAATTTTAGCCAAAAGCAGTGCTGGTTGCTCGGTCTGTGAATGCCAAATGTTTCCTTATAAGGAAACAGCTAAGATTACTGTTACCATTAACTTTTTATCTGGGCCTTGTAAATCCTCGTATAAAACGATAATGCCGCGCGACCCAAACATTTTTCTAGCTTCTGTCTCCTTGGTTCCCAGTGTATATCCATAGCGTCCCCTCCCACACGCATAGGGAGACACCTCTTTCTGGATATCAAGGAGACTACAAATTTAAAACAATTCATCCTACACTGCAAAAACACATATGCCTCTTAAAAAACAGCAAAAAAAGCAAATAAACCATTTTTTTTAGCATGAAAAGTTAAAATTACAGTTTTAATAGAATGGATTTGGTTTGAGTACCAGCTTTTCAACATCACTTTGGAAGGCATTTTGAAGAAGTCGCTGGCAATAATTTTCTAGCCTTTCTTTGCATAAAAATCCGTCATTACTAATATGGTTGAAAAAATACTTTAGTTCTAATGCTAACTTGATCTCCTACCACAAACCGTTTTCTAACGACCGCCATTTTTCTTCACTTCGCCCCATCACCAAATGAATCTTTCCACCTCCCATAAAATGGCGGTGCTGCCCACTTTAGAAATTCATGCCTGATTTAAAATCATGGCTGATGGAGAATAGAAGGGGAACGAAAAAAAAAAAGACAACATTTGTACACGCTAAAAAGAAAACAGAATGTATGATGGTAAGCAAAAAGGAGACCCCAAAATGAATGTTGCAAATTGCAGACGTCAGAATCCAAGAACTGATGAGATATCTGTAGAGATGTTCAACGGAACAGGAACAATATCCTCCCACAGATTAAATAAAAGGTCCAGTTCTAAATACGCTGAAGGTTGACCGAATCGCCAATCACCTGATGAAGGCCGGGGGTATAATAACCGAAACGTTGTGATAACGACAGCAAAGATGAGAACATTCGTCTGAATGTAAATAATGCACATATTGATAAGTCTTCATACCAGAAATTCAGAGAGAAAAATATAGGAAATTGTGGAGAGCCATGAGCGCGTACGTTCTGAGGAGACATTAAAGAAAATTATGGGCCTTGAACAAACATTCACTGACTTGAATATAATTTGCGATTGTAAGAAGGAGTGCTGAAAAGTTCTCGACCCGACCAACTTCTGACAAAAGGATCAAATATCCACATACAAAAATTATGCTTATAGATATTCGCCATTTTAATCTTGTTATTGAAGGAAAAACGATAGGCAAAAGTGAGAAAAGAAACCACAATTATGATCTTTTATTTGTATCAAAGTGAGAGAACCGCTTACATATAACCGAGTTAGCATCATACTGATTTGAAGAGTTGCATACAATCGACAGTGCAATTAATCTATTTGGGCGTACCTTTCGCCAATTGTCGCGTCATTGGAAAAGAAACCTGATGAAAAAAAAATCCAAGGATTTGAAAATGAAAATAATAAAACTGAATGAAGTACTTGCAAGTGACTCGTTAAATTCTTCAAAATATCTTCATGTAATTTCATGAGTGTTCACAATTGTTAAAAAACTGAATGAAATCAAAAAGAAAAAAGAATGCAAGCGATTATGAACCACTCCCATGCGCATATATATATATATATATATATACTAACAATAAATATACATTGTGTTCCTCAACGGTATCGCAACTCTGACCTTGATACATGATGCAATCAACAGTTCAGTTTTTTGCACCTGACAATTGTATCGGGCATGAAATTCAGAGTTGTACTACCAGCGAGGAAAAAAAAAAACATGTATTTATTATTAGTATAAAGCTCTGTTATTATACATCGAGCACTTTTTTTATTACCACCAGAGTTCAAAGCGCTTTATTTCAGGTGAGTGTATGTGCGTACGTGCGTGTTTGTGTGTATGTGTGAGTGTGTGCGATGTAAAGATTTGTTATATTTATAGCAGAAGAACGCTCAGTATCGTTTATTGGTATAGACAGTGTGGACATAAGAATCAACACTGTATGGTGACAGCCAGCTTTGTGGCTCTACATGATCTTTAGACTTGAAACTGAATCAACATTGTCTATATCTTTGAACAATCTATCTCCGACATTGAGCACTCTTCTCGTAAAAGTATCAGCAATTTCAAAGTATCTATCTATCTATCTATCTATCTATCTATCTATCTATCTATCTATCTATCTGTCTCAGTATTCATATCTATCTATCTATCTATCTATCTATCTATCTATCTCAGTATTCATATCTATCTATCTATCTATCTATCTATCTATCTATCTATCTATCTCAGTATTCATATCTATCTATCTATCTATCTATCTATCTCAGTATTCATATCTATCTATCTATCTATCTATCTATCTATCTATCTATCTATCTATCTATCTAAGTATTCATATCTATCTATCTATCTATCTATCTCAGTATTCATATCTATCTATCTATCTATCTCAGTATTCATATCTATCTATCTATCTATCTATCTATCTATCTATCTCAGTATTCATATCTATCTATCTATCTATCTATCTCAGTATTCATATCTATCTATCTATCTATCTATCTATCTATCTATCTATCTATCTATCTATCTATGTGTGCATGTGTGTATTCAGATGTAAATAATCTGTAAATATATCTGTAAATAGACAATATGAATATAGACAAAAAGAAAACTTTTCATTACTAACACGTTTTGTCCCCAGAGGGTCATTATCAAGGTAAATGATACCTTGATAAAGTCCACCAGGAAACGAAACACGTCGATCAAAGAAATTATTTAATAATATTTCTAATAGTAATCATGCTTTTATAACAACTGTTTTGGAATGCGAGGAATGTCCGCTCATAAAATTACCTGATATAGACACGGGTGTAACAAATCCAAACTAATATGCATAAATACACACACACACACATATATATATATATATATATATATATATATATAGTAATTAAAATGCTAATTTGGATTAAGTCGGCCGAACATAATATTTCTTACCACCCCTGTGTATATATATATATATATGGGGGTATCGTGTGAAGAAAATTATTTGTAAATATACATTGTTGATCTGCTAAGTGCAAACAAATTTATATTTCCTATTAAAATCCTACAAAAATTAATGTTAAAATATATATATATATATATATATATATATATATATATATATATGAAGAAATATAGTTTTAAGGTGTGTTATATTTATGGGATAAAGTGCTCTATTATCAGAGATAGAGCGTATGTAAATATAAAATTGAACATTGAAGTCAAGACTCAGAGGCGACAGGCTGTTTCATATTAGACGCAATCGTCAAGCGGCCTGACAATTGGGTCTAGCATGAAACAGCCTGTCGCCTCTGAGTGTTGACGTCAATGTTCACTTTTATATATCTATATATATCATAACGCTTTAAGTGGTAATATATATATATAACGTTTTAAATGATAATATATATATATATATATATAACATTTTAAGTAATTATATATATATATATAAGTAAAATTGAAAAAGACTAAGAAAATACACATGCTGTTGACAATGTCGGAGTGTGTGTAGATATGCATTTAGATATGTTTTTTTTTATCATTTATATTTTTTGTTTGTATGTTTTTTAATAGCCTCGTTGACAGTTCCATAAATGTCAGTTATTTTGCAATTGGTCGGTCCGACAATCAAGCGAAGCGCATTTTGGTTGCTATTTCACTTACCAGACTCGCCTATGCTCGAGGAAGCCTCGAAGCTCTGACTAGATCTTTCAAGAATGTTAGCAAGGGCATCTTCTGTTTGTCCACGGAATCCGCCGACAACCTGTGTCATGCCTCCAATGCTGAGTCTGTCAGGGATTAGAGAGAGAAAAAAAAATTTAATATTGAAAAATAAATAGCTATTTTCAATTCTTTTAATTAACCGTAATCAAGCATGACTCTTCCGATTTGTCATTTGTTTATTATCTTTTAATTCTTCTGAAAGATTGTGGAGTAGTTCTCTAAGTGGCCTTCTGTAAGTTTTTTCTTATTTTTTTTAAATCAATTCACTTCAAGCAAGGCGATAATGCCTTTAAAATTTAAGGGGCTGCTGAGAGTGGAAGTTAATGAAAAGAATTTAGAAGCAACCGGAAACAGGTAACACGGGATGAACTTCTGCTCCTGGCAAAAACCCGGAGAAGGACGATAGGTAAACCTATTTGAATTCAAAATGGTCCTTCTGTTAGACTGGCTGCTTCTCAAGGCCACAGAGCCCAAGTCGACTTTGATATTGAATTAATTGCCAAAAGTAATTCATACAACGCCAAAATGGAAGGTCACTTTTTAAAACTTCAGATCGTTCATATGATCAGCAAAAGAGAACTTAAGCAAGATAAACAGTTACTGAAGTTAACCAAGAAACCTAAACGAAACACCAATTGATTAAACGCCTTCTTCTTTTGATCACCTTCTTCTCATTCTTCAAAATGTCTGTATCTGAAATTCATGACACCTATTACATTCCCTTTTTTAACCCCTGGGTCACTATGTCATGCTAGACAATTTTTCTTGACGGAATCTATCATTCGTCTTTGCTCTCTAATATTGCTGCCTCATTTGGTCTGCTGTTCCTATTTAGAGATTCTTGATAAAATACAAAGAAGAATCTGTAATGTTATCGGTCCTGACCTGGCATCTCGGCTTCAGTCACTTCCCCACCGCCGTAAAGTAGCTCCCCTCTGCCTTTTCTATAAATTCTTTCATAATAACTGTTCGGATGAATTTTCCGCTATGGTATATAAAATTTTATTCATTGTAAATATTCACTGGGTTTTAATTTTTAAAAGTTATCCCCGCCAGACAAACTGTACATATAGGAACTATTTAGGACTTCATAGAGACTTTGGGGTATTATGGTGACTGCAGTAAGAATGGTAAGTAAGAATGTGTTGTTTCGGCGTAAGGAATACTGTGGTATGTTTGGGTCAGTAATTGTGGCTAGCTAATTATAAGATAAGACAGATTGCAGACCAGCCTTCCTCCTATCCATCGTTTTGGCCTTGTGCCACATTTTTTGTATTTTTTAAAATAAATATCACTTTCTGCAATGGTATCTAATCTTTATGAATTTAAACGCAATACTAGGTTGGCGGCAAGGTTTCATCTTTTTGCGTCCTAGTGGCTTTATTACCTTGCTTGGGGTGAAATGATTAAAAAAAATCTCTCTGCACATTATGACGTTATTTCAAATGAATCTTCATCTCACCTGTTCTCTTCAACCTCCAAGAGTTTGCGATAGGCAGCAATCTCTAACTCTAGGGACAGTTTGGCATCCATCAACAACTGCAGTTCCTTGATGACTCCTTCCAATTCCATGTTGAGTTTTTGTACTTCGGAAAGTCTCAAGGTCTTCTCGTTGTCCAGCTCTGCAGTCGTGCTGTCCAGTTCGCTGGTCAAGAGGTGGACTTGAGCATTCAGCTTATCGATCTGATCAGTAGAATAAAGAATAGATTTATTCATGGATTATAAGTTGGAAGTTTAGTGACAATATATTGCAGCAAGAAGACGAGGAATGAGTGGAAGAGGGAGAATGAGTTGAAGGAAAAGAATGAAAGAAATGGGAAGAATGAAAGAAAGAGAAGGAACGAAAGAAAGAGAATGAATGAAGGAAACAGACGATAATAAAATGGAGATATCAGCAAGAAAGTAAAGAGGATGCAAATGAAACCAAGAAGGAGAAGAAACAGAACAGAATTATCGAATATCGAATCGAAAACTTACAAAAACAGAGAAAAATAAGAAAAGAAACTTATAAGATTTAAAACATATATATCTCAGCAGCAGCGATGGACAGACAAATAAGATTATCTACAGAAACCATGATCTCTCATGAAATCTCTGGAGCCCTTCTCTTTGTCTCAAAGTCGTTGATAAAATCCAGAGACGGATATGCAGTGTAATTGGCGCTGATCTGGCATCTCGTCTGCAGTCGCTCTCTCACAGACGTGCCGTCGCCTCCCTCTGTCTTTTTTACACGGTAACTAGTCCGATGAGCTGCTTTCGCTGGTTTCCAGACTTCATGAATTTAAGGCTGGCATCTCTTTCACTCTCGAAACTGTTAAATGTAGCCGTCTCTTCTACTCCAATAGCTGCATGTCTCGCACTTCTCGCCTGTGGAACTCCCTCCCCTTTTCCTGTTTCCCTGATTGCTATAATCTCCAACTATTCAAATGTAATGTCAATCGACGTCTCCAGATGCCTTGATCTATCCCTTATCCTTCTCTTCATCCTTTTCTCTATCACTCCTATTTGCTCTCGCTCCAACTCTCTGTAACCCCTTGTGTTCCCACCTTGCTTGGGGTGAAACGCTTAAAAAAATCTAACGGAGAAAAGGAAACAGATGTTATTAATTGCCCAGTAATAGTAAACTATTCTGCTACTGATTTGGTGGATGGGGTTAGGAATATTCATTTGGTAACTGTTATCAATATTCAAGGACAACAGACGTGTCGTGTTCAATAACAATTCAACAAAATGGCCATATAGCCCCTCGAAAGCGTCTAATCTCAAATGGCTCTAATTAAACAAAATGATCAAAAGGGCATCTCCGTGCATTGTTTGTACTGGACTTTTTCCATCACTGTAAACCTCATGACAGCATGTGTCACCGCCCCAAATGTTTAGGCACACGGTGTACAGTCGCATGAATATTATTGCTTCAGAGACGGGCGAAGAGTTTGTACGTTCTGCACAGTAATATTTATATACGGTATTCAGATCAAAATCGACATTGCCCTTCAAGATGATGCTCTTGTATTTTTCCACCATTTTGATTGTCTGCCTATCTATCATACCTTTTTCATATCTATCTATCTATCTATCTATCTATCTATCTATCTATCTATCTATCTAATTGGATCTGTAGTGATCCCCGGGGGTGCCTCAGCAGCCATTGCTCTATTGCCACAGAGGTGAACCTTGAATGGTCTGTGCCCAGGAATGGAGTAGTTGGGTACAAGCATAGGTAGACTCCAAACAGACTGGACCTCTAGCAGTTATATTCGGTATCAAAAGAATAGACAAAATGTATAGAATGAAAGAAATAAGTTAAAAAAAAAGCAGTTAGTAAAATGGTCCTGCTTTAATGGTTAGAGGCTTGTAACGAGAAATACGCAAGACGAGTTCGAATTCTGGCTCCGGGTTTGTTGCATTCACTTTCTAGAAATGTACGAATCCATCTACTCTTGCTCCCAGCTAAGGGTTAAAAAGTAGTACTAACTTTGCTCTCTAACCGCTGTTGGCGCTCACTGTAGGTGAAGAAAACCGTATGTAACCCTGGCGAACGACAGTTTGCAAAGACGAATCAGCAATATTACCGGTCCTGATCTGGCAGCTCGGCTTCAGTCACTTCCCCACCGCCGTAAGGTTGCCTCTCTGTGCCTTTTCTATAAATAGTTTTATGGTAATTGTTCCGATGAGCCCTTCTTTATGGTGCCTAGATTTTATGAATTTAAGTGCAATACGAGACTGGCGTCAAGATCTCATCAATTTACAGTTGAGCTGGCGAGATGTAGCCGTATGTTCTATGCTAACAGTTTCTTTTCTCGCACTATTCGCTTGTGGAAGTCCCTTCCAGGTCCATGCTTTCCAGCCAACTTTAATCTTCAAAAATTTAAATGCAATGTCAATCACTGTCTACTGTCCTCCTGATTACTCTTTTCTCTTCCCGCTCATTATTAATGTTTCTGTTCCTAATTCTTCCACACCCCTTGTGTCTTTGTGGCTTTACTGCCTTGCCTAGAATGATTCCGATTAAAAAAAAAAAAACCCCAAAAACAAAAACAAAACCGAAATCTCATGGAGATCGCAAAGACACTAGGATCTAAACTGCAGTCGGTGTGATAGATAACAGGAATAGTAAAATGGTGGTAGTGGACAAGAGAAGAAATTATTTAAGAATGAAATACGAAGAAGAGAAAAAAAAGTAAATGGGTAATAGAAACAGTACAAAAGTTGGACGAAGCCAAAGTATAAAAAAAATGGATTGGCGTCTTGATCTAACCTGAGATTGAAGATCCATCAGACGGGAATCCTTGTCAGTGATTTGAGAACGGAGTCGTCTGTTTTCTTCAGTTGCCTGCGCACTTTCCGCGTTACCCTTTGTGGCGCCAAGACGAATTTCATTAAGCTGAAAAATAAAAATAAAACAAAAAATATAGAAATAAACAATACAAAATAGTATCAACGTAAAGATGGCAGGAGGCGCTCACTCAGCTTTTTACGATACGAACACATGAAAACCCACTTTGCATTTCTATCCTTATTCAATGCGAGCATCAAAAACTAGGAAAGGATTGCTTCACACTCACAAAGAAACGAAAAGTGAGCATAAACACCTCGGCGAGAAATGAGGCGTCGAAATATGTTTCCAATAGAGCTGATTCAAGGATTCACTTGCATTATCTGGGATAGATAGGGGGAGGGGGGCATTTGACACCCGAGACAACTTCTGCTATATAGTCTAGTAGATCAGTGTTTCTCTTTAACTCATCTTACTCCCAATACTTTGCCCATGTCAACATCACTACGCACGGCGGGCTACTGTACCGGGTGGCATTGGGATGATCCAGAGGAAACATTTGTCCTCGTTAATGTGCAGTCCAGAACTGAACTACATCAATTCAAGCCGTGATTGTTTATATAAATATGTATATAGTCATTTGTTCCCAGAAGTTTTCATTTATATATCTATCATATTATTCTCTTTTGGTCAAGTGGGCAGCCGCTTTGGAAGACGCCACTTCACAGACTTTATTGCTGGTCACAAAACACGAAACATTTGAGACCGAGATAAAATCACAGCATCACCTTTTTTGAGCTTGGTCCATTTTTTGAGTTCTACCAGCTCAGACCTTTGCAGCTAGGGCAAGGTCAAGCTAATTTCTTAAAGAGGCAAATGCTCCTCATTTCCTTCGCATTCCAATTTGTGTAACAGACTCCCGTGTGGGTGTTTACATGAACACTACAATCTTAATCTCTTCAAATCAAGTGTCAATCATTACCTATACTCATAATGTTTACTTCCTTCCGCCTACTCTTTCAGTCATATCACACATTTCATTCATCATGACCGTCTTAGCAGTAAGCCTCTAGCTTGACCGACACTTGAGCCTTGTATTCAAAAACTTTAGTATAAAAATCCGATAAAAACCGATCGGTCGAAACCTTTTGATACAATAGTAATCATAGGTTGTTTTAGCACGAAGTCACAAGTCTGAGCGTTCTGGCCTTGTTCAGTCTGTTAAGCAGGCTAGATAACACGCACTCTCCCAGAAACTGTAACTAAGGTCTGCTCAGCATAGTTGCAGTATAAACCACAGTTGGACACTGAGCAAGCGTCTTCCACAGAGATTACCTAGCCGCCCTAATAGACGGACGTCCTCGGACACGAGTGGCGGCGCCATTTTTTTTTTTTTTTTTTAGATTGGAATATAAATATAAGAAGATACGTACCTGAACTTGATATTTGGATTCCAAGTCAGCTGAGAGAAGATTCAGTTGGTTGTCGTATTCTTCCCTGATTTCCCTCATACATTTAGAGAGTTCATTGGTCCAGTAATCACGCATCTGGGGTACAGTATCCTCCTTCATTAACATTGCCTTGTATTCTTTGATTTCCTGAAAAGAATTTTATTAGAATAATTAATGAGAAGTCTTTAATTGGTGCGAACACGTGTTTTCCATAACAACTTATTTCACAAGAGAGAAATTCTGTCAGAATTTTTGACATGCAAAAATGTTCATTATATTGTAATCCAAGTATCGTCAAGCCTCGGGCCACATTCGGCCCGCGAGGGATTTCTGTCTTGCCCGCCAACTTAACACCTGGACACTAATTATCTAATTAATTTGTAGAACAAGTGGCAGGAATCTATCAGTTGGAGTTAACTTACAATGAGATGAATTTTTGAAATCAAATTTTACTTACGCTTTTATAAGAAATATATTTTGTCACTCGGAAACTAGAAAAGCCTGTTGAATAATACGAACATGATGGCATCATTATTTGGAAGTATATATGCTTGGGAAGAACTTTTTTCGAAAATTCAGTATACTAAAAGTCGTCTAAGAGCAAGGTTAGGTGATGACCACTTGAATATTGTTTTGCTCCTGTCACCAACAAATATCTCACCTGATGTGGAGAAGTTATTGGACAATAAGCAGAAACAAGTGACTCATTAAATAATCTGCCATCTCTAACTGTATTTTGTTTGTTATAAGGAATTTTCATTTTTTGTTGACTGCGTTAGTTGTTATTCTGTTACTCCTGCAGTAAAATAAGGAACCTTGTTTAAATAATATAATATTAACTTCGTTGTTTTTTTCTCCAGACCAAGGTAGCCTTTTGGATAGAGCGGTTTGAGGTCGAGACAATTTATTAGAATACATTTGATATCATAGCCCCCCCCAAGACAATGCATCGCTGTCTGGCCCGCTCTCTTCAAAAGGTTGCCGACTCCTGTTGTCATCCATAAAAAATCCCTCTCACATCTCAAACGAATGTAATAATTTAAAAAAAAATAAAATTTCTGTTTTCCCTCCTCCGATGTCAGTGTATCGACGATGAGGAGCTGATGACGAAAGTATTTCTAGTTGGGATAAAAATGAGCTTGAAAGACAAAAACATCAAATACAGATATAGGTATATAAATATAGACATCAATATATAGTGTTCAAAGAAAGCGACATGGATGCCCGAGCGTATATCATGTGTGGCAAGAAGCGTCTCTGATATTTTTTTTGTCTTTCAACGCGATCAAAATGGAATAGTTCATTATTTATGAGGTACTGGCGGGGCGTAACGGTCGTATGAACAAATGATGGGAGGGAGAAGAACAGTTATTATATGATTCTTTTGTACGAGAAGAATAAACGTAGACAAATCTATTCTTTTCTACTCAAGTGCCAACGAAATTTTTCTTTTCCGAGTCATTAAATTAAAGTAATTATTCAGTACGAAAGTTAAGTAATAGTTCTGTAAATATACTTACGGCGTCAGTGACAGATCTCAAGAAATTCAGTTCTTCCTCCAGGGCCTGGGCACGTGTGCTTTCTGCCAGGCGTTGACAAGTCTCTTCTTGCAAGTCCTGTGAGAATATAAACAAAAAGGATTTATTACAGTAAATAATAATAATAATAATAATAATAATAATTGCACGGAGCTTTTGTACAAGAAACTCAAGAAACGTGTTCTGGAATAAGGAGCGCGAAGGGATGATCCGTGAAGCGCAATAGCGGGCTTTAAGAACAAATTCCACCAAACACTATGGGTAAAACATCTGATTTACTCTTGTACAAGGCTGTGAGGGAAAGCTACCGGAAGTGTGAAACACATTTTTAGTGATTACACTCAGCTAAAGCAAAAAGAGTAGAGACGGCTCTATGACAAAATAGCCCTCAGAATACATTGGGAAATATACAGCAAGTATGGCCTCGAGTACGTAGACAAGTGGTACAAACATTAACCACCGTTAGTAGGTAAGAATGAGAAACTGAAGCTAATTTGAGATACGACTAACAAGCGCTTGGGGAGCAATCGCCTTGGTATCACGCCTGTGCACAAGATCAGCCATGAATATATTCTGATCGACGTTGCAGTACATTAGGATAAAGATATCGTGAAGGCGGAGTAAGTAAACGTTTATAAAGACCTGGCAGGGCAAAAGAAATATACCAATACCGAATGTTTCCTTATAAGGAAACGGCTAATATTACCGTTACCATATTGTTTGTTAATGTTAAATTCGAGATCGTATAGATTTGGTGACTTTAGTCAAATGAACATAAGTGGATAAAGACGCAAGTGCAACCTTTACCCCGCAGTCTAAAGGTTGCTAGACCCTCGCTATACTATCGCTATAACTATGGCAAATGTTCTAACGAGTTACAGGCCCCAGTCCCACTAATTCAGACCTTCACAGCTAGGTCCGACATACCATGTTCATTGTGATATATCATCCTCATTCCCTTTGCGTTCTTTTCGTAAGGAGTAAGTACCTGTTGGATATCTATTCTTCAGAACTGTTATATTATGGAACGGACTCCCGAGAGTATACTTTTCTGACTGATACAATCTCATACCCTTCAAGTCCAGGTCAACCGATATCTCTCCTACATATCCTCATAATGTGCACTTCCTGTTTCTTACTTGCCTTTTTCTTATAACAATCTCACCCGGTAACACTCTACCTTATGTGGCCCTTGGCCTTGTATTACTTTAAACTAAAATAAAAAAAAGTTATGAAACTATTAAGTTGGTCAGAAAGTTCAGACTCACTTGGGAAGCGGAAAGAAAACAATAACAACATTTTATGGAGCAACAGTAGCATTTATCCTTCAGAATAAAGTTCATCATTCTCCACGATCTTCTGCAAGCGATCAGCCTGTATCCGAATCTGTCCCAGATGCCAGTCCGCTGGCTTTGAATAAAGAAAAAAAAACTGTAAACAATCTTCCTTCACTTCATCAAAAGTGTTGAATCGCTGGTCGCGGAGGAAGTGTGGCATTGAGCGGGAAAAAATGCCATAGTCACTTGAAGCAACATCGGGACTGAATGGTAAATATGGAAGAATCTCAACATCGTCCACCTATTTGGACTTCTCTTTAATCCACCTGGCAGTGTATGGCCTCGCGTTGTCTTATTGAAACAAAGCCCGACCTCAATTGATCAAAGCAGGATACTCCTTCTCTAGTTTGTCGTACACACGGTCTGGCTGCTGGCAATACAATTTAGCGTTGATAGCTCCTCCGTGTGGAACAAGCTCAAAATGTAGTACTCCTTGGAAATTTGATCAGACAATGATCAAGATTTCTTGCTTTCATTTCCCTTTCGAAATGAGTTAGGACTTTCTGGTCAACCAAGTATTTTTCAGAAACATTTTATTGATTTAAAAAATGAAAAAAAAAAAAAAAACTCTCCAAATGTCTACAAACAGCAAATATATATTTTTAGAAAGAAGGTGACGATTGTCCATCGAGCAAAAGTTCTCCCCAAAATAAGGATTCAACCCTTAAAATTATAATCTAACAATTAGACAACTGAGGAAAAACTCGCACACATGCTGATCTTGGACTTTGAGATGAACGCTTCTTACAAGTCAATCTATGGGAATCGAATATTTTAATGACGTATTGCTTAATGAATTCTTTCCAAATCAAAAAACATTGATACACCATTTTGAGCTGAAATTGTACAGTGAAGTGATCCTTGAAATCATTACTTCTTTAGGTTTGGCTTGGTTAATTTTGTTTTATGGCACATCAACACCTCAATGGGTTATTGTTGTGTATGATACACCTAATTTACATAAGCGGACTACCGACCATATAAATATGGGTTGGTACCGGAAGACGGGGAAGATAGTAGAGATTAAGAAATTGAATCCAGAGACTCTGCCCGACTGCGATTTAGTCAACCCATTATGCAGGAACAGTCTTCCCAAGAATATACCAAACTAACTGTAAATATTGTGTACCTATTCTTTGTTTCAATACATTTTGTTAACGTACATTTTGTGTTGTATTATTCCATGCTTATTTAAGCTTCAACAGTTATTTAATGCCGACAAAATTTTTAGGATAGGTTCTTATAAATAGACTATGTATTCTTTCTATGAAATCAGTTTATAGGAGATCAGGTTTCATTGATGTATTTTTATAAAGCGAGATTTGTAAAGCGTCTAGTTTCATAGTTTTTAGATGTAAAGTTTGTAGAGAAATTGATTTTATTGACATTCTTATTTGGTTTATATTTTTTGATAAGGGTCACTCTTTTAAGGAATGATATTATATCATCCACTTTCGCGTTCTCGAAGATCTCATACATTTTGTTTATATTATAGTATTTCTGCCTTGAGAGAGCAAGGCCGAAACACTCGGTTAATATATGTTTAATCGTGTCAATAGGTTATTTAATGCCTCCATATGTCTCAGTTCAATTTGGTTTATTTTGTTTTTACGGCATATCAATACCTTACTGGGTTATTTAATGCCGGAAAGATTTTTAGGATAGGTTCGTATGAATAGAATATGTATTCTTTGTAAGAAATCATTTTGTAGGAGATCAGGATTCATTGACGTAAAGATAGTTTTTGTCGAGAGTAATATTGTTTTGCTGGTAATATTGTTTTCATAAAAAATGTATTGCTGGTATTTTTACTATAAAAATCTATTTTTATACTTTCATAGTATTTTGACCCCAGTTTGAGGTTAACTATTTACTCATAGATGGGACCCTAACAGGTTCTATCATTCTGGGTCAAGATGGACCTGGAAACAACAGCAAGAGACAAGACACAAGAGGTCGTTCCACATTCCTCAAAATCTCCATATCAGAGGCCTTGCTGCCGGATGTAGTTTATCGTCATATCCAGGACACACTTCTCTAAGTATGCAAATTGTAGCCCCTGTAATGCCATTATATTAATAAACTAAAAAACGTCAACATGTTGGGTATTTTATTTACATTGTTCTGACGGTTTTCCTCATCTTTATTGTCATATTCACGACGTTTCGGTCGTTGTACGCTCCGACCTTCTTAAAAGACACATGGCCCAGTGGATAAAAGCGTTGGTTGAAGTAGTCAAAGGGATGTGAGTTCAATACCTGGTCACGGCAGAGGTGAACAAAAACTTGGAAAGTAGAGTTACTACAGGGAAATAACTGAAATTGAGATATCCAGAAAAGGCATGGCACGTGGAACTAGAACAACTACTCTTCGGTTCGAAATTCTAACGTATATCACTTGAGGAAGACCGGAACGTACAGCGGTCGAAACGTCGTGAATGGGACAATAAAGATGAGGAAAACAGTTCAAACACTGTAAATAGTGTAGAATAGTTACAATAAGTGTCAGAAATATAGACAAATGTAAGTTTTTTTTTTCTTTTCATGTTCGGAACCAGGTTTGCAGGGTCACCAACCTGGAAGACCTAACTGGCGCCATTAGTATAGTATAGTTCCTTATCAAAGGCCAGATCCTATAGTTGAGGCTTTCTATCCACATGTGAGTCTTGAAGCTTGGTGTATGAAGAATTGTCAGGTAGTAAAAAGAGGCTGATAAAAAAAAGTGGGGCTAAAATGAATCCATCAAAACCAAACTTCCATTGTGTAAGCGAAATTAGCTGGCGGTATGTACGAAATTCGCCCACACTGGTGGGTCCATCTAATTTTTGAAGAGACCCGATGTCAAAAGCTTATCAACGCCGGAAAAATACAACACCACAGATCAACGCAGCCAGTAATTACAACAACGGCCTTTCAGTGCCAGCACTATTCTAGAGTTTGAATCACTAATATCGAACTGCGAAGCCATCTGACTATTTACAAATGAATACATAATGTAGGTCTTCGAATTCCGGTTGAGTTTGTTACTTTAATTTTTGTAGAGATACCCTTGACAAAGGTATGAATATTATCTCTTCTCTCTCTAGCTAGGGTTTAAATAGAAAGCCAGACTGGATTCTCTAGCCGTGTTTGGCAACCGGTCTATGAGAATAACAATTCTGAATTCACATACCATGGATAATATTATCGCGCTTATCAATTAACTAAGATACGCTGTTGTGGATTCTATGATTTCAGCTGCGGTTAACTAGGTAGGTAGATCTTCCATTTTGTGATCACATGTTGTGGCCATTACATTTGTAATCTAGGGATAGTAACTGATTGATTATAATAGGCTACATCATGTTGAAACACTGGTTCCCGTACGATCACCAAAGTTAAGCAACGCTGAGCCTGGTCAGTACTTGGTTGGGGATACCAGGTTCTGTAAGCTTGGATGTGTGGATGGTGTAATGGATAATGAATCGAAATTGTTAATCGGAGAGCTGAGTTTCAATGCAGGTTGGGTTCGTTAGATTCACTTACGCGCAAATACAATTGGGAAAAGTATGAATCCACCTCTTCTCTCCCAGCTATGAGTTAATAAGTAAGACTTGTATCACTATATCATTATTATCTCCAAAATCAAATCAAATTGTATACAAAAATATTCAGATTCCCATATTAAATAAACCATAGAGGTTGATATGCCGTTAAATAAAATCATCCATAGAGATAAACAACTATAATAAGCTGTGCTTGTGGTAATGGAAAAAAGGTACGTACAATTCGGAGTCCTTGCAACTGAGTGTCGACGTGAGCGTATTTTGCCTTCCAATCTGCGAGTTGCCTCTCAAGTTCCTGCACTTTTCTTTTAAGCATTTCATTATCGGCGATGCGACGGGCGATGTCATCGTTCAGTGTGTCTATATTGTTCTGAAGCTGGTCATTTACATCGTTGGCGTGACGAAGTCTGCAAAAGAAAAAGAAGAAAAAAAAACAACATTATCTCATTCGGAAGGAAGAATCTTATGCAACGTATTCATCATGTCTTCTGCTTCCATTCCTAAATCGTTGGACTCCTGGCAAATTCCACACCGGCTTTCGACAACTGACGTATCATTAATTGTATTCTGACGCGCATCTCTTATGCAATTAAAATTACTAACAGAAGAGGAAAATAAATGTTCATTTACATAAATATAATGAATAAGCAAAATTAATTAAAACAAGAAAGAAAGAGTGAAGCGATATGAAGAAGGAAAATGTAGAAAAAGAAAGAAAGAATGAATGAGGAGATAAGAAGAATAAAAGAAAGAATGGGGAAATATGAAGAAGGAAAAAGAAAGAAAGAAAGAATGAATGCGTATTAAGAATAAAATTAAATCAAATCACACCATACAAGGCGATAAATCCGCTAAGATGCTACTGGGAGTGAAAGAGAATGAGAAGACTTTTGAAGGAACCGATAACCAAATCTTAAACAGGAAACGGGATAAACCTCTACCCCCTGTTCAATAGGCCGGAGAGGAGTGTGAAACGAGCGATACACGAACCTACCTACTCCTATTAAGAAAGAAAGAGAGAGTGTGGAAGAATTAAAGAGGACTTATTAAGAAAGAAAGAAAGAAAGAAAGAAGAGAATGAGAGAACGAAAAAGTGAAGAAATATTATGAAAGAAACAAAGAAAACGGAGAGATATTAAAAGATACGATCATTCGGATACCCTGATCATAGATACTTCACTGGTGTCGGATGAGCAATGGTTATCGAGTTCAGTTGTTTGCAATGCACACAATGAAGCAGAATAATAGTTTAACACTTATTGAAGGAACTGAAATTTTTCTCTGAAAAGCGTTCAAAAGTGTATTGAATGCCGTAAAGAACTTAGCAATTCCACGTTTGCACAAAACAAAACTCTGACGCGAATGACGCGTATCAGGTTTTAGTAAAAATAAAATCTAGAAAAATCTCTTTTGTGAGACTTTTAAAAAATATATTCAACTTCAAAACATGAAATTCTAAATAATTCAACCTTTTTTGTTGTTTTTTTTTTTTTTTTTTTTTTTACCTGAACTCTAGTTTTTGTAACACGCTGACCCGTGTTGAAATCCTAACAGTATTTAGTTGAAGTTATCACTGACAATTTTTGTCGAGATTTACAAACTCTACGTTTCCTTCGATTTCGCAAACCACTCGATGAAATTTGAATAAACTGATTTGTTTGGAAAAATACTTTCACAAAAACCCTACTTCTCAGTTTAATATATTTTTTTAATTAAGTTAATTTTATATTTCATGGTAAACAATATTTTTAAGAAAATTTCTTTCTTTACTTTTTTCTTTTTAACATCGAAGAATAAATTCTTAGGAATTCTTACTCTTAAGCATGCTGCATACAGCAGGCCATGTGCAAATATTTCTTTCTGGAGCCAAATTTCAACTTTTTGAAGTGTTTGACCTTTTAATTTGTTTATTGTTCTCGCAAATGCAGGGTGTACTAGAAACTGGATTGTGTATATAAAAACTTAAATAAAAATATGCAAAAACAATATTGCATTTTTATTAAATAAGTATTTATCTTAATCATTAAGTTCTTTTCAAAATAGTGTATGTTGTATGTTAAATAATAAAACTTTTAATTTAAAAAAAAAATGAATGAAATTTTATTGTACTAATCTTCGCACCCTAGTAAAACCAATTGTACTTTGTACCCCTTTAACTATTTGCACTTCACCCGAAAATTTGGTTTCGATCCGTCAATGTTTGGCTATTTTAGAGGGTGTGACGGATGGACTAACAGAAGTTACAGAATTATATATATATATATATATATATATATATATATATATATATATATATATATATATATATATATATATATGTGTGTGTGTGTGTGTGTGTGTCGTTGAACAGTTTACATATTCTTGGATTGCATGAAAAAATTTGAATTTCCGCAGCTGATGGATTTCCGTGGGGTGATCGATAAGGCACTGTCCATGATAGACAGGCCCCCAAGGACTCAAAGAAACAGATATAAATCATATATAGCTCGTTGTTTGCTTTCGATTAAAAGTAATATTTATTTATAGATAAAATCTAGATTTGAAGTCTGATAGGAGGTCAGCCACCTGCAGTAAAGTCAGCTGCGTACATTTTCAACATAGGTAGAAACAGAAGTGAACAGTGTCATTCTACAGAGATCAGGCGTCCGTCAGGGGTCACTTCTCGGTCCAGCCCTCTTTCTACTTTACATAAATGATCTGCCTAAGAGTATACTCCGATCCTTTCTGAATATTTATGCTGATGATACACTGGTATATGGGTGCACGTACAAAACTCGAGATGACCATCGCTTTACAGCAGATCTCCTGTCTGACCTAGCTTTAACTGCTCAGTGGGGAAAAAAACTTGCTGTGCATATTCAGTGCCTCGACTTCTATTATCACTGAACGGACCTTGAATTTTTACCTATCGCGAAGAATGAGTGTTCTCTCATGGAGGCCTTGTGCCTTGAGCACCTATTGAGATTTAAAGGCAACCCAGAGCTCAAGTGGAACTCGTACGTACTATCCATCGCTAAAGATGACGGAAAAATGGTCGGTTCTTTAGGCTGACTCACCACTTTTACCTTTACAAGAATCAGAATAGGCTGAAAATGGAATACTGCTGTCATATATGGACACGAGATGATCGGTCTTCATTTTCCAGAAGCGTCTTTGTGGGTGACGAATTATTTTCCACCCTACAGCCACTTTCCTCACAACCGATACATCGCAAGCCTCTCGCTTTATCTATCGCTATTTCTATGGAAAGTGTTCAGACGAACTACATTCCTTAATTCCACCAGTTCTAATCCTCACCATGCTACGCACATTCCAGCGAACCATCTTCATTCCCTTCATATTCCATTGGTGGGATGTAAGTTCCACTCGAGCAGAATCTTCTGACGAATCGCTGCTTTGTGGAACCAACTCCCAAGAGGATGCTTGTCTTAGCTTGTTCAAGTCTAGGGTTAACTGTTATCTTCCCCATATATCCCCATAAACTGTGCCTGTAACACTCTGCCTCAAGTGGCTCTTGGGTCTTGTACAGGGTGACCATTATTGTAAAAATTTTGATTCATTTCATTTGATCAAAGCAAACATGTAAAAAATAAACGTGAGTACTCTATAAATATCCTTTTTAATAGGATTATTTTAGTTTTTAATCTTGTAACCATATTTGTCTGCTTTACTGAAACAAACTCTGTGTATATGGCGCCATTTTCTTTCCTGATAGTTATCTGGAGATACCAGAGTTATCTTATCCTTGGTAATTCTATTGAAAAACACGAGCTCTTATTTTACTATTTTCTCTGATGTCCGTCAACTAAGAAATATAAAAGCCAGTTTGAATCTAAAACGTTAAGACTAGCTTAAGACTGTTATAGGCATTGTTCGTGACCTGACAGTGTTGAAGACGGCCATTAATAATGCACACGATGTGCATATTAGATATGTTTTCAGTAGTGTAGAAAACAATAGAGATTGATTGAAGTGACAGTTGCTATTGGAAATTAAATTGGATGTCGATAGCGAAACCTTTTTCTAATATTTACACGATGTACAGAGTGCGATGGATAAAAATAAATAAAATTGCAGTTTGCTTCAAACACAGCCTCCAGATGACTTCGGATTCTTCTGCAACTATTTTGGATGGTCTTGTTTAAGTTGATGACTGCTGCCATAATCCTTGCCTTCAGTTCATCTTTGGTGTTACAAGGAGTTTCGATGATCTGTCGCTCAACTGCGCCCCACGCATAATAATCAAGGGGATTGCAGTCTGGGGAGTTTGGTGGCCAGATATAAGGGTTCATGTGGTCACAGAAATTATCTGACAGCCATAACTGGGTTTTCCTGTTTGTGTGACATGGTGCAGAATCCTGTTGCCAGACATAGAGTCTTCCAGCAGCCATCCTCTTGACCCAGGGTAGCACTACCTCCTCTAGACACTTGATGCAAGCCTCCGTGTTGCGTCTGTGGCCCTCACCAACAAATTCGGGAGTTCTTTTCTCATCACAACAATAAGAGTGTGTTTATCGAGCTACTGTACCTTCGTAATCACCATTGGATTCATCAAACTCTTTCCGAATCCCCTGCACTGTCCTCAGATTGACACCCAAACACTATGAAATGTTCGTATTGGAGCGGCTGGCATGAATGCCAAGCAATATAGTATGCAGTTTCCAAATTTCTGGGGTCATAGCGCTCTTTTTCTCACATACGGTGCCCAAACAACTCTGCTATAATGTGCAGTCGACAAAATCAAAAACAAACAACAAACATGGCCGAAATTAAAAATATAAAATGGCAACAATTTACCCATCTCACCCTGTACATTGTTCGGACTATTTTCCTCATCTTTATTATCATATTCACGGCGTTTCGGTCATTGTACGCTCCGACCTTCTTCAGGTGATATACGCTGGACTTTTGAACAGAACCCTTTATTTAGTTCATTGGGGTAGATTGTATTAGTTCCATGTGTCATGCCTTTTCTGAAAAACTCCCCAAGGACGTATGACGCAGTGGATAAAGTTGTTGCTTGAAGTGTTGTGATTTCAATACTTGGCCACAGCAGATGTAAACAAAAACTTGGAGTGTTGAGTTACTAAAAAGGAATTAACTGGAAACTAAGAATAATATAAACAGTTACAAGACCCCATCTCAAAAATATAGACAAACATTATTTATTATATTAACCATAGAATTCAGAAAGACTAAACAATTTTGGTGTGAAATTCTAGAGTTTTATGGCTTTTTTGATTGTGGATTGGGGGAGAATTCTATATCTAACGAGAGAAAAATCAACCAAATCCAAATATGATCATTGGTTAAGCAGTTTACTACCAAAATAAATGTCTTGATGTAACAATGTGTCAAAACAGCAGTTTGGCAGAATAGCTTATCAGTTTTCAAGAGATTGTCCTTAGGTTGAGCAATAAATTTAAGATAATTGGTTCAATCCTCAATGTAAAAAAGAAAAAGAAAGCTTTACTTACGATCAATTATGGTCAGAGTACTGTTATGTCCAAAAAAACAATTATATAGAGAAACTTGTATATACTCAAAAACAATTAATATATATACTAAAAAAACAACAAAAAAAACAAACAATTCCCTTAATGTTCAACTTCACAGAAAAGCAGAGCTGTGGTTAGGACCATCCAAACTCCCCAGTCCAGGAAGGGTACAATGATGGAGGAGCATAGACAAATATGTAGTTAAACAATTTATGTACATTTTTCGGACTGTTGTCCGTATCTTTATTGTCATACTCACGACGTTTCGACAGTTGTACAATCCGGCCTTCTTCAGGTCAATATGACAATAAAGATGAGGACCAAAGTCGAAACAATGTAAATAGTTACAATACTTCATGTCAGAAATATAGACAGATGTTAAAATGTCACTTAATGCATGAACTATTCAAGGTAGAGGGGTTATAGTCAGTCAAATGCTTAATGAAATGTGCCATTTGAATGGAAAAGGATTACAATAAATGAAGATTATCCAGATGAGGAGGAAAAATTAACGAGTGATTCTTGAATTAAAGATTTCGATAATGAAATGTTCAGAGAAACCTCAATGTTTCAGAGAAAGAACAGACCATTCCTGTTTGATTTCGAGGATAGACGGAAGAAAAGATTTATCAAAGGCACTGTTTGATTTTAGGAAAAGAAAGATAAAAGAAAGAATAAAAAAGAAATATAAAGAAAGAAAAATAAAGCAAGAAAGAAAGAAAGAAAAAGAAAGAAAGAAAAAGAAAGCAAGAAAAAGAAAGCAAGAAAGAAAGAAACAAAGAAAAATAAAGAAAAAGAAAGAAAGAAAAAGAAAGGAAGAAAAATAAAGCAAGAAAGAAAGAAAGAAAAAGAAAGAAAGAAAAATAAAGGAAGAAAGAAAGAAAGAAAGAAAGAAAAAGAAAGGAAGAAAAATAAAGGAAGAAAAATAAAGCAAGAAAGAAAGAAAAAGGAAGGAAGAAAAATAAAGCAAGAAAGAAAGAAAAAGGAAGGAAGAAAAAGAAAGCAAGAAACAAAGAAACAAAGAAAAAGAAAGAAAAAGAAAGAAAGAAAAATAAAGCAAGAAAGAAAGAAAGAAAAAGAAAGAAAGAAAAATAAAGCAAAAAAGAAAGAAAGAAAAAGAAAGAAAGAAAGAAAGAAAGAAGGAAAGAAAGAAAGAAAGAAAAAGAAAGGAAGAAACAGTAGATAGAGAGGACAATAACATTCATGCGTTTAAAATCTGATTCAGGGAAATACAAACCATAATTTCGAATTTTTTTCAATTGTACCCCCTTACTTCTTTAAATAATGAGCAACATTCATAATTATGTTTTTGTAATATTTTGTAAAAGTTAAGTTCAAATACTCAACGATCCAATGGGGAAATTTCTATAGGTACTCTATAGCTGTGGAACTCACAAGGACATCATTCAATCATTGACTTTTCAACCTACTCTCGTAATAAGGAGCCCAGTAGTGTTGTTTGATTTATTAATTTGTTATTTTCGGACTTATTAATCCTTCGTGTGTTATTTAAAGCCCAAATATATTTTCGATTGTAAGTATAATTCTTTTTTTGCGAGTGAACACTGCATTCACAATTTTTGGAAAATGTTTTTTCCACGGACAAATCATACTATTTAACCCATAGCAGTAGGGAGGTGACTTCGTACCTTTCCTAACTCATTAACTTTACACCGTCATTACCACGGATAAATAATAGACCGTTCCATTTTGACTGCAAGGAAAGCGCGAAGCAAAATATATATCAGATATGCTGTTTGATTACAATAAGAAAAACAAGCATACATAATTAGAAAGAAAGAAAGAAAGAAAGAGAGAGAGAGAGAGAAAGAAAGAAAGAAAGAAAGAAAGAAAGAAAGGGAAGATAGCGGAAGCCATAACGTTCTCATGCATTTAATGTCTGCTTCAGTGAAAGGGAAAACCTTTCAAATTTTGAAGATTTTTCATTTTTTCATTCTTATTTCTTGAAATAATGACCTGCATTCATACTTATGATTTTTATTGCAATATTTTGTTAAAGTCGTTAAACTTAAATATTTAACGATGCAATAGAGAAATATACCACGCAAGGAGTTTATTCCATCATTAACTTAAGAATTCTGAGTCATCATAAAATGCAAACATGAAAATCGTGACATTTTCGCAAGTACTGCCAGTAATGAAAATGTTTCTTATCAAAACTCCGAAAATGATCGTAAAATTGTGAGAAAATGTTCTCTTCTAACTCCTGATTATTTTTAGTGTCACCACCCAAAAATCGTAATCAACTCGATATTTTGTTTTCAAACTCTTCCGTTTATTTTTATTTTCAAAACTTTTCCTTTTTTTTTTTTTAAAAGATTCATTATTCTACTTTTTCTCCTTTTTCAATTTCTTTTTCGACTCTTTCTTTTTTCTTTATCGTTTCTCTTTCTTTTACCTTCTTAAGCACACTTTTTTTTTTATACTCCATCTGCTTTATCCTTCCCTTTCCAAACTAGCAATAGCTGTTCTTTATTCTGCTTTCCTTGGTAAATCGGCCATTTTCCATTATTGTGGCAAGATACATTAGAGACATCAGATTACAAAGTGTTGGGATCAAATCAGATGGCGGTAAAAAGTCCGTCTCTGTATCAAGGGGAGAAATGTTTCTTTCTACTATAAAGAATTATTTTTCTTTGGTCATAATAATCTATAACATTTAGCTCATTCACCAGATACGACATTCTTTATTTATGGATAGATTTTTAGCGGGAAAGAGAATTTTTCAGTTCTTTATTCACGCCATGATAAGAAGAGGTGCAAAAAGTCCTCGATCTGACTTACTACTCAAAATTCTGAAAAATAATTGTAAAAATGGTCGAAAAACTTATCTTTTATCTCACGTGTATTGTTAGTATGTATTTAGTGAGTAAGAATACAGAATAACTCCACGGACATTTGAAATATGTCTTTAACTAACTGTCTTGTTTTGATTCAAAGAGTTAAATAACAAAGACTTGTCACTTGACGTTGCTTAACTTTACTCATCTTTGTAACAAAAAAAATCCCTTTTTTGTAGATGGCGGTGTATAAGTAACATAGATATCAACAGATCGATGCATGATTTTATTTTATAATTTATTAAAAGTTCACAAAGTCATACGAAGGGAGGGTAGATTGTGTTAGATCGCTTTCTTAAGGAGGGAGATCCTGTCTATTAAGAAAATTACCATTTGCTAGCCTTTGATTTTTTTTCACCTACGCGTGACCATTCAGTACCAGTAGGAAATGCGTAATTAGCTAAGTTATGAGGTATGTCAGTACGTGAAATATTGTTGTTGCTACTATCAAGCCTTGATTAGTTCGGCACAAGGTCATGAATATAGGGCACACACTGAGCCTCGGACTTACTACTCATTCATAACTAGCAAACAAAATACCTCGCTAAATATTACCCCACGCTGACACATGCTAGAAAAATATTTACTAAGCTTGATTTACTTTAAGCACAAAGTAAGAAGTATAGGTCACTTAGTAAGGATCAACCTCGAAATCAGTTTGTTTTTCTCTCTCTCTCTTTCACTCTGACTATCTATCTATCTATCTATCTATCTATCTATAGATTATATATATATATATATATATATATATATATATATATATATATATTTTTTTTTTTTTTTCTGTAGTTTACTGCTACCAGCAAGCAGAAATATTTCTCCTCCTGATGATGGACATTTTTGGGCCAAAACTAGTCGAGGAATCTAAATTAAATAATAATATTAATCTACAACCCAGTGTGTCTGAAGATTTTAATTTTTTATTGTTCAATATATATATATATATATATATATATATATATATATATATATAATTTATTTTAGGATATTAAAAAACATGTTAAAAACGCCACACAATTCCAATTATGTAATTATTTAGCAATTTTAACATGCTTTTTTTTTAATATCATAAAATAAATAATATTTAGCTCTACTCTGTACTCTTTTAAATTAAATGTTACAGACAGTGGAAGTATACTCCATTTGTTCTCATTTTACCTATATATATATATATATATATATATATATATATATATATATATATATATAAAAAAAGAAATATGTTGTAGTGGTTCCAACGAGAGAAAAGTATGTATATTAAAAAAGAAGAGGGGTGCCGCAAACGTTTTTGGTTGTAATGTGGATTTATTGAGAAAAAATATTATACTTTGTTTTACATAATTTCACGACACGTGTTTCTGGTCTGGTCTCGCAAACTGTCTTCAGGTGAAAGTGGAGATTTTACATATTATTAAAATAATTAATTTTTCTTCATGTTCAATGTGGAATATTCTCGATATGAGACATTCTGTTTGTGTGTTGGCAATCCGAATTTTCTTTCTAGAATTGTCAATGAAGAGTTCTGCGTGAAGGGTCATAAAACAATTAAGGTTTGTCCAGCGAGTAGTTATCGGCATTTAATCTTTTGATGTTTTAGTGACCACACATACATACACACGCACACACACACACACACACACACACGTACTTCTTAAGTTGTCAACATCCGCATATACATACATAAATGTATGTATGTGTACATACACATATATATATCTCTCTCCTCGTGTCTCCCGTATATGAGTGTGCGTCCATGTATGTGAGCGATCATTGTATTTGGTCACCCTGTGTGCATGTTTTTTTTTTTTTTTTTTTGGGGGGGTTATCTATTCAGTTCGGGTTTGAATTTGTGTATGTGTGTATGTGTGTACTGGTTCCATGTAGCTTGGGAAATATGTGTGTATATGTGTGTGTGTACTGACTACTTGTGGTGGGATAGTGTGTATGTGCGTATGTGTGTGTATGCGTGTATAAGTACAAATAAGTTTACGAATTCCTCGTAGTAAAAATATACGCACGCATATATACACGCATGCTGACAGGAACACGCCAAAATAGAAACAGATCCAAGAGCACATAGAGGTCACTAAAACATCAAAAGATTAAATGCCGATAACTACTCGCTGGACAAACCTTAATTGTTTTATGACCCTTCACGCAGAACTCTTCATTGACAATTCTAGAAAGAAAATTCGGATTGCCAACACACAAACAGAATGTCTCATATCGAGAATATTCCACATTGAACATGAAGAAAAATTAATTATTTTAATAATATGTAAAAATCTCCACTTTCACCTGAAGACGGTTGCGAGACCAGACCAGAAACACGTGTCGTGAAATTATGTAAAACAAAGTATAATATTTTTTCTCAATAAATCCACATTACAACCAAAAACGTTTGCGGCACCCCTCTTCTTTTTAATATATATATATATATATATATATATATATCACTGAATACGGCCAACGAGGAAGAGATTGAATAATTGATTTTTATTAAGCATTCTAACATATTTACATATAAAAACTGTCCATAATTTTTATTGTTCCAAACGCTTTCACTTTTATACCCATTTTCAACATACCAACACCAGAGACAAAGCACCCTTGAAAATGACTATAGATGTGGCCGAAAGCGTTTGGTGCAATAAAAATTATGGACAATTTATATATTCGTTAACTCTTACAAACCGGAAAAATGTTAGGATGTTGGAAAAAACTTAATAAAAATTAATTCAATCGTCCTTGTCGGCCGTACTCAATGGATGCTATTTGAAAGAAAGTTTGTTGCCAATATATATATATATATATATATATATATATATATATATATATATATATATATATATATTACTAAATGTTCACCCAATATGCGGGCTAAGAGCCACTCAATGTAGAGGGTTGCTGAGTGAGATTGCTGCATAGACGTAAGAGGCGGAAGTACCTGCCGATCATGAGGATAAACAAAATAGATAACAGTTGACGTAGCATTTAAAAATGATAGTGATCAAGAAAGCATTCTCTTGGGAGTCTGTTCCGTAACGTAGTAGTTCTCATGAAGAAGCTGTCTGAGTGGAAGTTCCTTCTTAATAATGGAATACAAAAGGGAACGAAGATGAGTTGATCCTGTATACATGGCATGGCGGGTCCTAGCTGTGATGGACTAGGAACTGGTGGAATTAAGGAATATACTAGTCTAAACATTTGCCAAGGAAATAGCGATTGAGTAGCTATAAGTTTGCGAAGTTTCATTTGTGGGAAAGAAGCTGTAAGGGTGAAAACAATTAATCACCCAAAAGGTTGTGTCTAGAGTGGAAAGTGAGCATTGGGTAGACAATGTC